ATGAAAATAACACTACTAATTAATTCGCCCGCCGGAAGCCGTTATCAATCTTCCTCGATCGCAGATGAATAGGACGAGTATATATATAAGACCTTTAATCACAAAGAGTGACCATATGGGATTATTAAATAGCCAAATTCATTGAAGGTCAACTTTGCCTGAGTTGAAAACTTATTTTTACTATTTGTTAGTTCATATTACGCAGTTTTTCCCGCTGTAGATTGTATTTGTTGTATAAACATCGGTTGTCAGGTAAAGTAATCAGGTAATTGACAGGTAAAACATACGTGCAATCTTCGTTTTTTGTACAGGTTTAAAGAAAGAAAGTAAAGAATACGTTTGTTATCTTATTGCAATACAATAGTTACACAAGGCTACATTATCTCATTGAGATGTGTGTTATACGTCAACGAGACAGCAACAAAGCGACACAAATAACCAACAGACAGTCATTCAGTCCAATATCTCTATTGAATATTTCATATTGAAATTTGCAATTAAGTCAGAACATTTCAATACATATTTTTTGTCCTGTTTTCCAGAATAAAATAGATTATATACATTATATATATTTAAAAAATACGAAATTTCATACTACATCCCTTCTACATACCAAGACCAGCTTTGCAAGACAAGAATTTTCGACCTGACTCATCACTTTCGAAAAAAAAATGATATGAACCTGATGATTTCTTTAAAAAAGAAGCATTTCTTTAAAAAAGAAGCATTTCTTTTCTACAACCGTTGTACTCAAATGGAGTCGTATAGGGTTCATTTATCCATCAACATAAAGTTGGGAAATACGGAAACGATCTGCTTATCAGAAATAAACAATAATTAGACAACTTTGCACGCATTAACAAGGTTTTTTAAGTTGAAAAAAATGGTAGGTTGAAAATAATTTCATTTGGGAAATTGTACAAACATGAATATTTCTTTCAGTGACTTTCTTCGTTCTATTGTCCTACGTAATTATTCTTGTCCACTGATGATACACATAATTAATATAACAACCAACACACGATGTGTAAGCACGTGAGTGCAAGCAACCCCAATAATCAGTACATGATATTTCATTTGCTAAATTTCTTCAGTCTTCATCCCATTAACAGAAATCAATTTTCACCTTTGTCATTTATCTAAACGTCAATGAATGGCCAGTATTTTGGACAACATTCTGAATTTCCCAGTTGGACATTGTTCCGACTGCTCAAGGAATTACAACAAAAGTGAAGTATACGTCCTTCGTTTAAAATGCATACAAATTCAGCATATGATAAATAATTAAGTGCATACAGAGTAAAATACGCCACAAGTGCAAAAAATTAAAACCAACACTGAACACTGGGAAGCTAAAACAAAGTTTAGATGCTAATCGATCGACTTCCGCCAACCCGATTTTCCCTGGACATGAGTGGGCGAGTATTCCTTGACATACTTCTGGCACGTAGACCCGTGCAATGGCATGGACATACAATGTCAACCGGTATTCCACTCCCACCGTGGGCGCGAGAAAATAACAAAGTCCACATGTGCTGTAGTGTACATGGCTTTTTGTTTGAAAAGATACTACTGACAGTGTTTCTTAATCTGCCATCATTTGTTGTACAGATCATTTCTATAGATTAATATTATTATAAAAGCAACATGGTTTTGTTATAAAAAATATGTGAATGTAAAATCGAATGGTTGTAAATATAATATTGCTGGATACGTTTGTCATGATTAACATCACTTGACTTTAGTAATGTGGCTTAATTTCATATTTATGGACTATTCAGATAAATGTGTCCGTATATAAACAATAGTATATGCATGAATCATGTGACTGTAAAATAAAATCCCGGCAAATTTATTTTTCAAAGAATACTTAAATATAAACGTTTAATATAGAAATGCGTGGTCTGCAATATAAGGTTTATGTCAATGTATGATTGGAATAATCAGCAATAAAATCCACTGTATGAACGGATTGTCTATTAGGATGTTCAATGTATAATTGGACAGCACAGGCTCGAAATAAGCGATCATCCGGTTGTCACAGACGAATTAAAATCGTGTCGGTCATCTTAAAACTTTGTAATTTAACGGCTATATCGGCCGGTTACTTTATTTACGGGCAACAAGAAAAATCGTGAAATATTTCACCTGAGAATACAGCTTTCTTGCATCTTTAAATCGCTAATTTTGTGTATTTAACATAATTCGTACTTTCATTTCACAGAATTTTCCGGCGACGCATGCCTAAGAAGCAATAACTACTCCTAAACGAAAACCTGATTGTTTAATCAAAGTCGGAAAATTAAAGAGATAGTTTCCAGAAACCAACAAGCTCATTTTGATAACCTAAACCTGGTTAGGCAACAAAGTTTTCGAAGCGAATCCACGATTTTACATAATTATATCCTTTTGCTCTGAATGTCTGTAAAAGCGTCTGCGGTTATTTCATTATTGTTTTATGTTTTCATCTAAACTGTTTAATCTGCATTGCTTCAGAGATTTTTTTTCAGTTGTCCAAAATCTTGCATCCAAAAAACAAAACGCAAAATCTCGTAGATAGTGGTCAAAATATCTAGTTTGGTACGCAAACATCAATAAAAAGTTATTAAATAATGTTTCAGATCAATATTATTCGAAGATGGCATAGTTTTGAAATAGCTTTTAATGATTCACAGAACCAGTCATAGTGTCAAAATGTCAACAGAAAGTTCAAAAAGAAGGGAGACAATTTTTATGGGAAATTTACTAAAACCTGTATTGTCAAATCTTAGAATATATTTCTGGTGGAAATAATTCAAACATTATTAAGTTATCACACCAGACTAAAAATTGTAGTGTGTTCAATGACAAATGAAACAGTTGTGTTCATGACCCACTTTTAAAAATTAAAAATTGTATTCTTGCCAAAAAAAAAACTGAGTTCAGATGAGACTTGGAATATGGTTAAACTTTTTCCTGTGGTAAGATATACTTTACCAATTGTACATGTAAATTTTAATCCATAAATCCAGAAGTTGTTCATAGATCTTAATAAGAATTAAAGGAAATAAAAACAATGTAAGTCCTTAAAGTCTTTCTTATGTGTAAATAAATTTTGAAGTTGTATTTAAAATACATGTACATACATATATGAATATAGCTAAACATGTAAATAAATAGATGTACTTAAGAGCCATTCTCTGTAAGCATCAAAATTTCTGATATAGGGTGGGAAAGTGAGGACCTCAAATTTCAATGAAACTTGGTAGTTAATACTCATATGTCACCCTTGTTCGAAATTTGGTACAATATTGATACACAGAGTTGCGGTTGCCATGGTTACCATACATCACCAAATAAGGCTTCTACAAGAGTCTTTCAATCAGTGAAATTACCGTTTTCTTTGCATGTAAAACATAAAGCATACTGTTCTGAAGTCATATTCTTTATTTGTCATCACGAAGACAATGATCAAGGCATATAATAACAATACATAACATAATAAAAAAAAGTTGCTATCACAGTTTTTTTATGCTGCCAAAAACCTTGATTTTGACTTTTTTTGAATTTCTGGAAAATTGTATTTTTTACCAATTTTAATAATAGACTGTGAAAAAATGCACCGACAGATGTTCTTAATATAATGCATATATAATGCATAAAGCATAAAGTCCAAAATATCAAAAAATTGGAATAGTGTTATTTCTCTAAAAAAAAAAAATGCGGTGCCATGGCAATGAATGAAAATATCTAAAAAAAAAAATTTTTATGAAATTTGCAAATTTTAAGTTATAAATGAAGAAAATTTAGTTCAATTGGATCTAAATACTGATTTAACACTATTTGAAGAGATAAATGTCAATTTAAGATTGTGGTAACCATAGTAACCATTTATATGACCCTAAGCAAAAAAAAAATAAAACCCAAAAATATGTATTTTATAGCTATTGCATACAAAGATTTACTCCGGTATCCTTTCAAAAAGCACATATCAAACAAAAGACCTAGTCAAATATCAAGAGGCTGTAAATAACAGTTTTGTGGTAAAATTATGAAAATTTTCAGTGTAAATTTAGTCTGAACCTGTGAAAATGAATACATGGTGCAGCTCACTTCACTTAAACTTTGAAATAATATACTACAGCCTTGCACTGATGTTAAAACACTGTGCAAACAAAACACAAGAGTCATTCTCTGTCTTTGGTTGGAAATATCATAGGAAATCCAAATCTCACTATTAATTTAAGCAAGAACAAGAATGTGTCAATCCTTCACAGATGCCCCATGCGCACTATCATTTTCTATGTTCAGTTGACTGTGAAATTGGGGTCAAAAATCTAAATTGGCATTTAGACATACTAAATTAGAAAGATCATATCATAGGGAACATGTGTACTAAGTTTCAAGTTGATTGGAGTTCAATTTCATCCAAAAACTACCTTGAACAAAAACTTTTACCAAAAACTTATACCGGAAACTCTCACCATCATTTTCTATGTTCAATGGACCGTGAGTTTGGAGTCAAAAATCTAATTTGGCAATTTAATTAGAAAGATCATACCATAGGGAAGTTTCAAGTTGATTGGACTTCAACTTCATCAAAAGTTACCTTGACCAAAAACTTTAAACTGAAGTGGGACATATGGATGCACAGACCAGAAAACATAATTCCCCTTTCTATCGTAGGTGCAGCATGAAAAGTTGCTGATGCCAGTCAGTCGAATCATATATATATATAACTATCTAAATAGAAATCTGATGTCTCATTGGTGTTTTTTTAGAAAGACAAATTGGCTCAAATGGTTTTTGCAATTTCACTTTAACCTATTTAAATTTGTCATTTTGTGGCCGTTTTATAGCTGACTATGCAGTATGGGCTTTGCTCATTGTTGAAGATTGTACAATGACCTATAATTGTTAATTTCTGTGTCATTTATGGAGAGTAGTGTCATTGACAATCATACCATATTATAAGTTCATAAAATATTTTTAGTTTTCTACATAAAGTTGGTAAACAAAATTTAATTAAGTTCATCTGCAGTTAGTTCTCTCCTGATAGTTGTTATAGTTTCTTCCCTTGATGCATCAACGGAATCATCAAATGATTTGTTCTTCCTGCTCATTCTAGAAAAGAAACTTGTGATTTGCTGTACAGAAAGGATTTCATCATATGAAAATCTTCTATTTCCATCTTCTTTTCTCTCAGTCAGCATTTCCTCTGATACCAAAAAAGGATCTTCTTTTCTTCCAGTTTTTAGACCTTTATTAAACTTTTCAGTAAGATATTCTTTTTGGTTTACATTGAATCGTTTGTTCTTCCTTTCTTCTTTCAATGCCCAGCCAAGTTCTAAATCTGAGTTGTCATCAATTCCAACTGTCAGTCCTGCTGATGAAACTTGAAAGTTGGTTGAAAAAGACTTAGACATCTTTGTAATGTAAGTCTTCTTTGTAATGTCACATCCATTACTAAACTGGCACCTAAATTCAAACTCACACTTGCCGAACATTAAGTGGCTTGACAGCTCATGAAAAGAAGAAAAAGACAGTGTGCATCCCTCATTTGCACATGTTATGGTGTTTTCTTCCTCTTCAGCTTATGTGTCCTAAATAAATTCTAACAAACCTTATAGTCAGTCCTTAAATACTGCTTTGATTGTAAGAACAGTGCCTGAAAACTTTTGTGGTCATCAGGTGATATAGCGTCGTAGGTCAGCAATTTGTCTAAGACATCTTGAAGAGTAATAAAGGCACGTCCCCCTTCTGCTACAAAATAATCCAGTCCTTCAAGGCTTTTTCTGACTTTAGCACCACACTGAGCAAGTATTTTGAACATCGTACTGTCACCTATTAAAAAACAGTAACAACAAGTTTAGATTGATTGATTATTGTTTTATGTCCAAGTAGCACAAATAGGGTAGATTTGATCCATTTTAGAATTCATTCATACATTTTTTCAATATTCAATGTTATTAGTCAATATGTATTCTACAAGGATAACCAGTCCTTCACCTTTCATCTGATACCTTACTATTTAAATATATTCTACACATAATTTTAAATTTACACCTATGCGAAGGAACTAATTTGTTTTAAATATGTACTTCTTTCAAGTATGTGTTTTTTAACCGGGCCTACTTCAGGTGGTGTTGCATTTTACAAAGTCTATCAAAATTATTTTTGCATAGAATTCCAGCCAAGAAAGTGCTAGGAGCCATCTTAAACCTGCACCTTGTTGAAGGTGTCATTGTGACTTTGAGATAAAGAACAGCAATATTAAAATGCACTGTTCCTTTGCTTTTTGTTTTTTGTGTGTGTTTTTTTTTTAATTTTGTGTCATGGATGGATACCCCATATGATATCCTTTAATTTTTCTATTTATCTATATAAATATCTTTATTTGGCCTTACCTAAAAGTAAAACTTCATTTTCCTGACAGTATGCTTTGTACTGCTGTATTATGTCTGCTGAACCCATGCAACGTACAACATTAGGTAAATTGTGGACTGTTCCATCTGAAAACTTCAGTTTTTTTTCCCCAAACGGTAGATCACGGACAACATGACTGGATGTAATGAAATCTAAGAATGAGTCTAATCTTTCAGGATCTAATTTTTGTCGATGCAGTTTTTTCTCGGGAATTGGAAGTGCTGGCCCTATTTTCTTTGAATGACTGAGAGCAGCATAGTAGCGATGGGATGTTACTTCTGGTAGTAGAGACAGTAAGTCCTTGAAGGACATTCTTGAGGCAAGAACTGAAAGAACTTGTCTCCCTTGTTGCCAGGATTCTGCTTTTCTGTATGAAGTGACAATATCTTTGTACTCTGTATGATCGGTTCTGTTTTCTTCATTTAACTGCTTGGGACATTTTATATCTTCAATTACTTCGTCAACATCGTTTGGAAATAAAATTCCTATTATCAATTTCATAATCTCATCAATTCTTTCTTTGTAGGTGTTTCTTGTTTTAAATGTGTAGGACTGCCATGTTTTTCTTTCTTTTTCTGAGAATTCCTGCAATCTGACTGATGACAGGAAATCATTCAAAGATGCCAAGTAGCTGCCACGTTCATAACTTCTGACTGATTGCTGCAAAGAAGTATAAAACTGATTACAATTAAATAAATGAGGAATGGGCCCATGGGTCATAGATAATGCCCCTGCTTGCATGTAACATTATAAAGGTACACAACTTGCAATTGGTGAATAGTTGTCTAATCACAACTTTACAACATTTCCTTATTTTCATACAGAAGCTTTTGTCAATGGAAACTCAATGAGAAATATACAAATTCTATTTCAGATAATTGTAGTGGCAATAATATATTTTATCTTACCTCCTATAGATTTATGGGGATATGATTGGTTAATGAATTACACGTGGTGACTATATATATTTGATATAGGGTGTCCTAAAAAATACATGGTTAGTTACCATATAGGGTTAGCAACCATATAGGGTTAGTAAGGAGTTACTTCCCTTTCAAAACAAAAATGAAATCTGAATGGTTTAAACAGACGAATAAACTGATAATGAATGATTGAAATACATTCATAAAATAAATTTAAAGCTAACACGTTGTTATTGTTTTTTGTATAGACAAATGGAAGTTGGTTATTCCCACTATCTGCACATTAAAATCCTTTCAACTCTTTTTGGATGCCGTCAATATTTTAGTCCTTATACATATACCCTTGTTATTTAGTGGCAGTTAGAATTTCACCAACTTTAATTTTAAACAGCCTCTATTACAATGTACATTGTATATAAAAGAGAATAAAAGATTGTTATACTGAAACCCCGTAAAAATAAAGCGGTCTTTCTTCGCTCCCAAAAAATATTATTAAGTTCTGAGTCCTGATTAGTGTAAATTCCTAATAACTGTACAAATTTAGGCGCAATATAGGATTAAACGACTTTTTAAAGGAATTTATTGGTGTATAAACTCGACCAATTCACTCACAAACAAATAAAAGTCCAAAGGACTTTTATGATATGTTTGTGAGTGACTTGGTCCAGTTTATACACCAATAAATTCCTTTAAAAATGCATTAAATCCTTATAATTCTTTGAATGTAGAGATAAGGAATTTGATTTCTCCACTCGTAACCTCTATTACACATAAATTGTAAATTTATGGCATTTTGAATTGACCTGGCGCAAGAATATTTTTTTTGGGTTAACACCAAAAAATATACTCCATGAAATTTGTTATCTGAAAAAATAACCTAAAAGAATATCTTATTTTCTTTCAAATAAATGTTTTGTGTTTAGTTTAATTTGACGATGAACGCGAAGTGAAAATAAATATTTTTAACATTGAACCGGTTTGTGTTATTATCGCAGCCATCTTGTTTACATTGGTTAATAAAAGTAGTTCTGTCAACGTCGTCTATCGAAAAATAAACAACGTCAGATCCACTACCGGAAGCCCTCTCGACCAATCATATTAACGTATTCCCTAATATGCAAATCATATAAGAATTATTCCCAAATACCTGTAATAAAAATGTTACAATTCTAAAGTCCCAGAAAGAAGTCTTCTGTCTCTCATTAAAGAACTTAACAATAATATTTATTGTTTATATGCTGTTGTCCTAAAAATGCATGAAATATTTGCCACAGGATGTAATGTCTCTTGTTTGGGTGTTTTAAAGTGATTTTTGAAACCCCAAATTTATAATAAAGAACCTGTAAACAAGTTTATGATTTCAAGAGCTTTTAAAAAAGTCAGAACTGTTGAAAAAAATTTGAAAACACCTCTGCAAGAAGCCAGTCCTGCATTATCCTCATACATGTTTAATATAGTAAGGCATCACAGCAGTTTATTAGTACATGTACAAAATAATTTACTGAGTAAACGATTAATTTAACTGTACTAAAGTGTTTATTTTCACTCTAAATATGCATCAAATACTTGCCACTAGACATTACGCAGGCAACGGTAAAGAATTATGTATATGTTGATAATCAATCTTGCATAAATACAAACAACTGGCGTTGAACAAAGTAATGCTTATACATTTTGAATGTTCTTCTTTTAATTCTGTTCCCTTTTAATTTCCGGTAATTGTGCCTAAAATATATACTTCAGGATTCATGTCTTTTGAATGCGGCTTTTATTTCTGTTTTGAGTTGTCACATTGATCATGTTTAAGTGTTAATGATATAAACTTCAACCAATGACAAGTGATAGAATACTTATTTTGAGGATTTTACTTACTTGTGACTGGGATAAATAATTTTGACTTCCTGACTCTTCTGATGTAACTGTATATTCAGATGCTGAAATTTCAATCTGAAAAATAATGATGTATTTTGTTTACATTTTTTGAAATCCTGAATGTGCTAAATGCATTAACACATTTTTAGTTTTCAAACTTAATTAATTACTATAGAAATAAAATGTACAGATTTTTTAAATGTTATGGTCTGTATACAGTATATAATTTTTGCACTAAACTAAATTCCAACCTTGTGTTAACTTCGAAAGTTTTTACCACCGTCATTGCATTGTTTTACATTTGTCTTTTGGGGGCCTTTTATAGCTGACTATGTGATTATGGGTTTTGCTTATTGTTGAAGACCTTACAATGACCATTTGCTATTTACGTCGATGTCTTTTGGTCTCTGGTGGAGATTTGACTCATTGGCCATTATACCACATCTTCTTGTTTTCGTATGAAATGTGCCCAAAAAATGATAAATATGTTGTTCTTGTGTTGGAATAATGCAAATGACTAAAATATCCTTTACCTTGTTATAATTGTCTCATATTTTAGGGACCCCCCCCCCCCCCCCAAAAATAAACAAAAAAAAACAAACATCAATTATATCTAAAAAGACACTAGCTGTGCTTACAAGATTATCACAAATATTTTCTTTTTCTGTTAACATATCCAACTCGTCAGTCTCCATGAGATAGGTTTCATCATCTGTATTCAAGTTTGTGCATTGCTGAATCTGTTTAATACAAATATAAAATCAGTATATTTTTTATACTATTGATAAGAATCATATTGGTTATTCAATGTTTTTGGGTACATCCTGTCAACATTTATTTTCTTTTTTGGACTGCTTTATATTTTATTATCCAGGGGCCCTTGCCCTTGATAGCCTTTCCATACCAAAAGAATTGTTTTCATTGCAAAGCCATACAGTGACCTGCATTTGTTCATATCTGTGTTCTTTGGTGGGTAGCTGTCTCATTGCCCATCATTCAACATCATCCTCTATGTAGAATTTATATTGAACAAACACAGTCAATCAAGCATAAACATATATGCCAAAGACCTATATCTTAGCAGATTATGGTGCAATGTTTCTGTTGTATACAAAATTGTTCATAAAGTTGATACTGGTGTCAGACAGGTTTACAAAGTAAAAAGTCTGAGTCTATTTTTTTATTATTTTTTGTTCCAGTAAATTAGGTAAGAGTTCATTGACCCTATATGGAATTTGTATAAAGTGTATTTTACTTAGCAGTTATGGTTGATATTCATTGGATTTTTTTTATCCATATTTATGATTATACAGCTTGCTGTACATGTAAATTCAAAAATGGAAATAAATTCACAGATACTCTGATTGTTAAAACAATATTTTGTTTGCCTTACCTGGTCATCTTCACACTTTCCTTGATCCAGACTTTCAGCTTCTATCTCTGTGGACTGCTTGGAAATTTTAATAAGGCAGCTAGTGCATGCAGCTGAAAAAAGAAGCATTGACTTGACATAGGCTGTATTGATCATTTGGAAATGTGCTTCTTAAATTTTTTTTTGAAAGGGCATATGGGTTGTTTAAATATATTGGATTTTTTCTCATATGGGTCCGATCATTCCTGAAAACTTACATATATACATGGACATGTATATGGTTAATAGAAACTTTACAGCAATGGTTATGTTTATATTGAGATTGAAAAGATCAAAACACAGTTTTTACAGACAACTTACATGTAACAGAAAAGATCAACATGTTCATGTGTATGACCTATTGAATGTAAATTGCACCCCACTGATATATGACATTCCAAAATGTAACCCATATCAGCAGCTCTTCTAGCCAAGTCTGTGTATTCTTTTAGTTTTATATATATACATAAATAAGTACCTCAAGTGTAGGATCCTCCCCTCATTAGGAAGCTTCCATTTGATTTTTATGGGGTTAAGGATAAAATAAAAAAGAAAGGCAGGACAGGAGCATCATGAGTTTTGAGGAAAAAAAGGCAGGATGAGGAACTTTGTCAAAAAAAAGGCAGGATGACAAATAATGTAAAAAAAGTCAGAATAAAACTAATAAAATAATAAGACCCATTATCTAGATAGAGTGAAAAATAAAAAGGCAAGACAGAGATAATATCAGATTACAACTAAAAGAAGTGCAGGACAAAATCTCCACCCCCCCCCCCCCCCCCCCTAAAAATTCAAATGGTAGCAAAAAAGGGGCTCTTTTGTATTTCTAGAGTGTTATTTAAAAAAATATTAAACAGGCAATTGGAAATTAAAAAGAATAAACAGTCACATATAATTAAGTTTTTAACTTACGTGTTCCAATAGGAAGTGTGAGGCCATAACACTTCTGAATTTTCTCTACATCATTGATGGTGATATTGCGGCTAGGCTTTGGCTTTTTAACACCAACAACAGAATGTGATGCTACTGGAGGATGAGCACTTATCAAAGTAGGAAGCTGACATACTTTTCTCCTTCTCAAATCCGAGTTTCTTTTCAATAATTGGTTAAAATGGGTTGAGCATATATAAAAATCAGTAAAATTCTTTGGCAAAAGACCAGATTCAGTTAAAATTATATTTTTGTCATTGCAATCACATGTGTTGATATCAGTTACATCATCAGAACACTCATCTGTAGTGCAGTTTGTGTTAAAATTGCAAACCATTTCGTGTGTCTGCTGCTGAAGCTACTTTCATTTTCAACATAAACAACAAAAGAGTTGTACTAAGGGAAATAACTCTTGTAGAAGTTTGCACTCCTGATAGCAAATTTCTATATGACCAAGGTGAATTATTTTTCTTATTTGAAATAACACATATCTGCTTTTTGGCATATATAAACTATTATGTGATAACTTTGTATTCTGTTAATTTCAAGGGATTTTATCGGTGCATTTTGAAGAAATACTAAGTTGGACTTTAAAGGTTTCTACTGTAAATTTCGGAAAATGAATTTTATAGTTACCATGGCAATGAACATTACCATATTTTTTTATTATGACCAATATGTTTCTACATCACTAAGCATTCATTTAAAAAAGTTTTATGAAAATCTGTGACCACTGGTTTCTATCATATTTTGATGCTTACAGAGAATGGCTCTTAATGTGTTACTTAATTACTCTTGAAAAAAATGTCAGGGAAACCTGGATTTTTGGACTAGTTGCCCAGTTGTTGCACAAAACATTTAGCAAGTCAACAATCGATTATTCTTAATTGCTTGCCCTGCAGCCACATTCGGTTGGAATAGGCCTATTTAATCCGACGGTCGTGTACCAGTTTTTTTTTACGTGCGAAAGAAAACTTAAAAACAAACTTTGATGGGAATGTCATCAACATGACTGATTTTGAATTTTTAACACTCATGTAAGTAGTATTTAGATGGATGTATTTTCTAACATACTCTGGGCATTCCAACAAAACAGACGGCGTATGTATCATGTTTATTTAGGAGTCTGCATACCTCGTAGATAGTGTTCTCAAACTAAATAGTAATACCAAGAATTATTTCCCACGTTTATAATGAAAGTATATCCAGAAAAGCGCTTCGGACGTATGAAATTTATAACGTGTTGTTTTTATTTGTCAACTCCACGTTCAGCTATATAGATGATATCTTCTTACCGCATACATCAAAAATTGTTTACCATTTAATTATACAAAAAAGAAGATATAGCATGATTGCCAATGAGAGACCAAATGACATAGAAACCTATAGGTCACCAGCAGGCCTTCATAAATTAGCAAAACCCGTACCGAGTAGTAGCTGTAAAAGACCTCGAAATGACAAATTTTATACAATTTAAACGAAAACTAACGGCATATGTTGCATTAAACTTGACAACAAAATATACCCTCATGCCTATTTTTTTATCTTTAAACTACTAGATAAGATGGGTTCATAATTGACTTTCAAATAATGGAGAAAACTGTTATAACTTTAAATTTGAAACTTTAATATTTAATTTTAAAAAGACAGCTGTTGTCTCTGATTTTTTTAACTATGGTGACATGTTTTTTCTTACAAAGATTTAACAGGAATTAGTCTGCCCTTTACAGTGAGATAGTTGAATGTTATATAGATATATTGGTTGATCGTTTTAAAGGTAGAATATCATGGCACGATTTTCGATCATTCTTACCAGTTGATTTTTTTCCTGAAAGATAGAAATAACCTAAATATACAGCCTTAGTAAAATTACTATCAAATGCTAGTACACATTCAACGGTTGGAAGGATGAAGACTGCAATTTAAAATTTAGAAGCATCGGAACATAGCCATGATTAAATCATTTATAAAAGTTCATTTAATTTTCTGGTGTGTTGTAATGTATATGTTTTATTGACTGTTGTTGTTTTAATTTATCCCTTTCATGCAACATTAAGTTATACACACCTAATTTTCGGTTTAATTTGCCTTAATCAGAAGTTCATTTGAACAAGTCGTATAATGGAAATATTTTTAGAACCTAAGAAAAAACGTTTGTTACATTACTAAGTTTTCGCTTAATCGGGAACATGTACAATGTCAAGTATTTGCCAGTCAAAATACTTATCACTGCTACAATATTCGTTGAAAGAAATGCATTAGGGAATTATAATGATATATATATATATACATGGATATTAATCGTTTTATTATGTGTATGTGTGTACAACGGAAGCCAACACATCCAAACATTTCTCAACTGGTTATGTCAAAAGGGGAACAACTTGAAAAATATAAACCGGAATATATACTATTAAAAATAATATACTGCAACCTTTGTATCAAAACGTAAGTACCGACAGTTTCTGCAAGTACATCATGTTACAGTAACATTTTTAATATAAAAAAAATGACATTTGTTTTGCCTCATGAACACTAGTAACCAGAATTCAGATTGATCTGCCAAAAAGGTATTAACCCTATTAAAAAAAGCTTAATGAATATGTAAATAAGTTGACAAAAATTAAAACCGTTTTTAATGTATTTTAATCCATTTCAAATCATTTTAATACCAGTCAAATAGATTCGCATGCGGTCATTCAAGTTATTTTAGGATATGGTTAAGCTACGTCAAAATAATTATCCATGCCCCCATTAAACGAAATCAAACTGGTATTAAGTCCTTTTAAACTTAAAAGTGTCCGCATTTTTGTAAAGTAAATCACTGAAGCAGAAAAGTAACCATTGTTATTTATCGTCAATCCGTACCAAACGTTATCGATGTTAGTCAGATGATATACCTCCAACAAATATTCAGAATTAAAAGGAATTAATGATAAATACATATGTAAAATATAGTTATAAATGGCAGATGTTTAAAATCAGATAAAAATGGAATTAAAAGATCAATAATATATTTTAATTTGTCCACATGCAGTAGCTCTAGATAAGAAGATTTGTTGATACGTGATATGAAAACTAGCGTCATCTAAGTATATGCAAGATAATGATAATCCCTTTCTTCGTGATTAAGTACGACCGTTTGCTATTTTGGTCTCTCACAATAGTTGATAAAAGTAAAACGAGAATTCTATTGGTAAAATTATTATTTGAACTTCTTTTTTGCTTAATGTGTCATTTTTTTGTGCGTCACATTTATGTATTACCGTATATTTATTTGTTCTCTTTGTTTGTTTCCTTATTTTGTGTTCGTTATTTAATAATCAAAATGAAATATAATTTTTACAATTATCGACAAATAAAAAGTATTTATTTAAAAAAAAAATTGTTTTTATTGAATAAAAACACCGATCGTGAAAATGTGGAAATTGTTGAATATATTCCGTAAACAGTTTAGACTTATTGAAAGTTAATTTACTTTCAAATCTGTAAAATATGAAAATAAGAAGATGTGGTATGATTACCAATAAGAAAACTCTCCACAATATAAGTTTACAACATTCGGTCACCATTATGCCTTTAACAATGAGTACAACCCATACCGTTAATGCTGTAATATTGTCACTGGTGAAAAAAGTTGGTTCACATGGATAAAGGCGGAAATACTTATATCTGTATTTTTCTGTATCATTGACTCTCATTAAGCTTCTGTATTATTGACTTTTCATTACATTCCCTTTATTCATGATATTCATCAAACCGACAAATAACTATTTTTAAAGTTAAATTTTGAATTAAGTAAATGATCAACTGAAATTTTGTTTGCCGGTACTTTTCTGTGACAGCTGCTATTGATTGTGTGAAAATTGTGAATACTACAAGCAGACTCGAGTATTTCATAAATGGCAAACATCTCTACAAATGTTGAATTAGCTGTCTTCTGATTATCAAATTGTTTCGTTAACCGTTTTGAATCTCCCTTCTTTATACAGCACTCAAAGATACTCTTAAAACCTTTCCATTGAACGGTCGCCTAATGTAAAGCTTCGTTCAATCGACACAGAATAAAACTTGCTGTACTTAAATAATCAACCACTGCAAAAAATGTTTTTTTTTTGTAGATCCAGGCTGCAATATTCTGTTTGCCGCGTACAAAACGAACCTCAAGTTCAATGTTCTGGATGCCTTTCTGTTCCAGAAGAAGTTTTAGATGATGTTCTTTGCTGTGATTCGTAAACTAAACACATCTAAGAACCCAAAACAAACATATTGTGTTGTTTTGTTTTTATTCATTATACTATGAAACTTCATAAATAATACAAGTAAACAGACACTGGTACATGTACATGCAAAATCTATCTGTCAAATTTGATTTTTATTGGTGGAGCATATGATCTTTAGCTATTAATCAACATATTCCATTCAAAATTAAAACTAAAATTTTCAAATGCTTGTCGTAATAAATTGTCAAACTATAAAAATTAACAAGCAGTTTTCGTATATATTGCAACCAGAGGCGAAATACCATCTCTTGGCAAACCTACTTGATTGTCCAACTGGCAGCAAAGAATGAACGCTTGTTTGTAAATTTTCAAATGCCTGTCGAAATAATTTGTCAAACTATAAAAATTAACAAGCAGTTTTCGTAAATATTGCAACCAGAGGCGAAATACTATCTCTTAGCAATAAAATTGAGAATGGAAATTGGGAATGTGTCAAGGAGACAACAACCCGACCATAGATCAGACAACAGCCGAAGGCCATCAAAGGGTCTTCAATGCAGCGAGAAACTCCCGCAAACCTACTGGATTGTCCAATAGGCAGCAGAGAATGAACGCTTGTTTGTAACATACCAAAAACCTAAATATTAATTTATTTTTTAACTATTAAGTGATTCGCAGTTAACATCTTCGAAGTGTAAGTGATTGGCTTATTAGTGTTTAATGCAACTTTCAGCAATATTGTACTATTTCGTGGCGTTCAGTTCGGGGAAGGAAGCCAGAGTACCCGAAGAGAACCATCGACCGTCGGTAGGAAAACCGACAATGCTAGTCAATCAAGATTGGATTCGTGAGCACCTTCCACGTGTAAGTGTACGTTTTATAAGTCTCAAAAACACAACAAGGCTCCAGCAAGTAAATAATGTCCTATTTACATTAAACTTAACTCATCTGTATATTCTATTCCCCATGTTCCGGTGCTTCCCCAACCTGTTCTTATGCCTATGCTAGAAATATCGAAGGAGAATCGATCTGTCCAGTCAATGATTACTTTATAGGATGAGTCCTTCGATTGAATGTATCCATCACCTGACCAGGTCAGAACAAACTTTTAAAAATATTTTCAACTAGTTATATCATGGTTTACTTTGTTATAAATAATGCCATTTCCGAACTTAAGTCGAACGAAGACTTTCTCGCTATTATCTGCTCCTATCACTATCTCAAAGTACTGGTAGGACGACTTGATTACTTTTTTTATTCAATGTAAGCTTCGGCTTATATACAAATTAGGGCATACACAAAACATTTATTTCTACTACATGTAATTTTCAAGATACAACTGGTAGTACCTGCCAATGTTTTATAAATATTCAAACGTATAAAAAATTATCACGAATATGCTCAATTGTCGTAGCTACAATCCCTTCATTACCGAATGGAATGTACATTAAAACCGAATTGGATATTGTCATAAGCAATGTGGAAGATGCCATTCGTGGAGCATAATA